GTGGTACACGGACGGTTCCAAAACCATAGAAAGAACTGGAATAGGAGTGTATGGGCCGAGAACCAAGCACTCCGAAAGCTTGGGAAAACACCCAAGCATCTTCCAGACGGAAATTCACGCCATCGAGAAGTGTATCCAGTTTAACATCGAGAGAAAATATCATAGACAAGAGATTATCATCATGTCCGATAGTCAAGCAGCCATCAAAGCGCTGAGTTCTTACGTAATCAGCTCAAAAATGGTATGGAGATGCCTAGAACAATTGAATGAGCTAGGCGAGAAAAATAGAATTACTCTCACTTGGGTCCCGGGACATAACGGGGTACAGGGTAACGAGATTGCAGATAGTCTTGCAAGGAAAGGGGCTCAAACACCCTTTGTAGGACCTGAGCCGTTCTGCGGTATCAGCATTAACATAATATTAGAAGAGATTAAAAAAGAATTGGGTAGTAGAAGAACCGACAATTGGAACAATCTCTTGGGGCTGAGACAGGCCAAGATACTTCTGGGTGAATATAACCAAAAAAGATCGGAAGCCTGCATCTGCCTGAGCAAGAACGTATTGTAACAGGGATCCTTACCGGGCACTGCCGACTAAAAGGACACCTAAGTAAACTGAGAGTAGTAGAGGATAGTGAGTGCAGATTCTGTGAGGAGGAGGACGAAACCTCCATTCACATCCTAACTGAATGTGTAGCACTCCAGAATCCAAGGGCACTATATCTAGGAGGATATCAAATAGAAGAGGGAGACTTACCTAACTTGAAGCCACTTCAAATCCTACACTTCCTTGAGAAAATAGGATTGGAAGGGTCGCTATAGGCATTGAGACATTTCCTTAGTGCAGTGGCGACAGAAGGGGGCACAATAGATTTTTTAGGTCGCAGTGTATTAACACCCCATTATCAACATAACATAATGGGTTTGTGGGGAAATAGGAACATAGTTGGCCACTGTATAGAGACCCAATTGGCGCCCTTCATTTGTCCTCTCTTTCCGGAATTTTTATAGCTAACCACCACCTAGCTGCCATCTGAGAGACGTCAAAGACCTGAAGGTTGACACCGGAACAACCGAAACTTGTGCAACCGTTGTAGACGAAATGTTATCGTTAAAGATATTTTTTTGTAAAGTACTCGAAATTTGTCCATTACTGAGTCATATCAGAAAAAAATATTAACAATACCAATTACTGAGTACTTTAAGTACTCAAGTACAATATATTCAAGTGCTGTCCAAATCTGCTTCTGAATACGAAATTTAATAAGAACTGCTTGTGAATATAATACACTCAATGCGTAATTTTCTAGACGTATCTCATGTCGCAGAAGTTTTTACCTCATTAACTGATGGCATATCCACGCTATACCTCGTTCTCATCGATGCAAGGTACAAAATTAAATTTTAACAAAGGATATTGGTAATTTTGTGAAAAGATGGCATCTTAATCATAATAATGTGCACGTATTAGGTACTGTTATATTTAACAGTCTCTTTTGTCTTCTGTTACATTTTTCGGATATATGGTATATAGACTGACAGATAAACTAGAAAGTTATAGTGTAAGATGTAATGTTTTAAAACTGATGGAAAGCTCACTGATAGGACTCAGAGAGTAAGTTTGAAAGGTGTTAACAGTGATTTCGAGAGAATAACTTTTGAAGTACCTAAAGGTACTGTGCTGGGGCCACTATTGTTCAATAGTGATATAAACACTTTATGAAAGTTAGACACAAGTAGCTCTGTTATTGGATTTGCTGAAGACACCGCTATACTCTATACTGTGAAAAATTGGAACACTATAAAGCAGTGTTCAAAAAGAAATACGTCAGTTAAAAACATAGTTTGAGTATAATAAGTTCATAATGTTCATAATGTTAAAAATAAAATACCTTTGGAGAAATAAAATGTAATAAAACTATTGGTCAACGTAGCTCCTTATTCTTGGAGACAAAATTATTTAACATGTTTGCGAACGAACTCCAAGTAATAAATGGATATTTTCTAAAGGTAGAACTTTCTCATATAACGTATTAAACAATAAATTAAATAGCAATCAAAAAATAAACACAAAAAATTCTAATTAATGACGAACAATCCCGATTCTAGACGCTTATTCCCACTGTAGATGCTTACCCTACATTAGATATTTATCCTGATTATAGACCCTTACCCTGATTTTGATCTATCCTTACTTTTCGCGTATTTTAATTAGTATTTAATTTGGTAAATAAACTGTTTTATAATTATTATAGATATAGCCTAGAATAGTTTGGCCTCTTGGGTTTAATTTATTCCCCTATTTTCAACGTATTCAGTCCTGTATCTTTGGTTAGTTTTACTAGGTTCCCTACTAAGTGTTCCTAGGACGATTCTCTTGGTTCTAAAGTGCAAAAGTATGTATCACCAGCTAACTATAGGTTTTCATTTAAAAATAAATTTTAAGGGTCTGTAAGGTTTCTTCCTTTTCCACGCAGAATCTACACGTGGTGGTATTATTGTGTAATCCCATCACATGAAGAAAATATTTCTGCAAACAATATCTTGTTAGTAATCTTATATGTACACATTTGCTTATTAATGCAAATTCATGCTAATTCATGTCAATTAGCCGTTCCAACGACCTGTCAAACAATAGCTGCTGATCACTGATCTGTATTATTTTCACATACTTTGATTACTATACGAGGCAAGAGAGAGGTCCGACACGCCCAACATAGGGCGCGGCCATTTTGAACCCTGTGACACAGTTTACAGCTAAAGAATCAGATCTTTCACTCTGCGTCGGCACTTTTGATCTCAATTTTCCGGTTTGCGTCTTACAGAGGTACTTTACAACCTATAACTTTAAACAATAATCTGATCCAAACGGTAACTTCAATCAAGTTTTTAGGTCTTTATATAGACGATTCTCTAAAATGGTCTGCTCATATAGATACCTTAGCAAAAAAATTATCCTCCGCATGTTTTGCCATTAAATCGGTTTCTAAAGAGCTGACTCCTTCTACTGCATTAATAACCTACTTTTCCTTATTCGAATCTCACCTTCGCTATGGTTTACCTTTCTGGGGTTCTTGTAGCTTATACCTTTTCGAATCTATTTTTAAACTGCAAAAAAGAGCAATCCGATATGTATTTGGTTTAAGTAGTAGGACACATTGCGAAAATTACTTCAAAAATTTCAAAATTCTAACCCTTCCTGCTCTATTTATTTTCGAATCCGTCTGCTTAGTTCGCAAGCACATTCAAAATTTATCCGAAAGACCGACTCGTAGATATCCTACAAGAAATTTAGAGACTGATGTTTATTTAACAATGCCCACTTCTGACCTATTAAAACATTCCATTACCTACAATGCCAAAAAATTGTATAATAACCTTCCAATGCAATTAAAATCTATAAATACATACGATAAGTTCCGAAGACTGGCTAAAGCTTTTCTTCTAGAAAGACCATATTACACAGTAGCAGAATTTTATAACGTACCTTAGACATTTGAGTTCCACATACAATGGCATTAATTAAATAATTAAATATTAAAGTTTAAATTTAAATTTAAAAATTAAATTAGAATAATTATAATGACGGATATTGCATATCCATTGCAATTGTTATTCCTATTTTGTCTGTTTGTTTCTGTTTGTTTTTTCTGCTGTTTAGTTATTTTTATAATATGTTTAGTATTTAAGTTACACGCTTTGTCTATAAAATTTTTGTAAATTTTTTTACGGCAATAAAGCATATATCTCTCTCTCTATACATACACTGTGCAACTCGTATAATACAATATATGACAACCGCCTATAATAAAACAGCAATCTTCTGCGTGTCCTGAATTTGTATCCCTGGAGTGGATGTTATTTTGGAACTTTCAACTGGTCCGAGTGAGCTAACTGATTCTTTAGCAATAAACTGTAACTCCAAAAATAATATTCACTGACACTGACAGCAGCAAGCAAATGATGCGTTTGATTTGGTCATCGGAGATCTCCAAGCGCTGCAAACGTGTTTGAATTGACACTCCGAGAGATCCCTAAAGTGTTTGTTTTGCTTTGGAGCGAGAACATAGAGCGAGCTCGATGTTCTCAGAGCAGATGGATCGAGAAGAGGGAGAAATTTGTCTTTGTCTCTACCTATCTCTTTTTAACTAACTTACAAACAAATTTGAATCTCAAAATTAAAGACCAGACAAGAAGACAACAAATTAGCCGCTTTTGTCTTATAGCTAAAATTATTCGTAATAAAAAACACAAAATGTGTGTTTGGAAAATACATTTTCTCTGTCCAGATCTAATCACCAGTAATCACAGGCATGGAGTATGAGAGTGAAGCGGGCATTTGTGGTATATGCTGCATTTCAGGGCCATTACCCCTTATTATTAAAAGTTTTTCCATTTTCTTTACTTTTTGCCCACTATTTTGACACACAAACCAGAAACAAGAATCACAAAAAGCGAGGATATGTTTTTTACTCTGTTTTATTTGATTTGATTTAATGCTCTATTGTGACGTCATCACTTCTCGGTCTCCTCGACGCTCGCTCGATCGAGTTTCAAATCAAACGCCCCTAAAATAGCAGGTGCGATTTAATCATCCGCTTCTGCTTCAGGAATTGTCGGTTTAGTCGTTTTAACCTGTCAGATTAAAACAAGAAAACCGACAATTCCGAAGCAGAAGCGGATGATTAAAACGCACCTATTAAAACTATTGCGCCAAGATGTAGGCAACACGTAAAAGGGATCAAAATGTCGGAGTTTTCTATCTCCTTTTAAAAGGCACTCAGGAAGCTGCGCAGTGCGACCATTCTCCGTATAGTAAAAGAAAATCAAAGTATGTGCTATTTTCACATTTAAAATGACCCAATGCAATCCGTTTACGTACGCTACTGCTGTAGATTCTAAATGAGCAAGAAAGCCTGCATTAGAAAAAGAAACAATGATTTTGTTAGAGCGACATCAACATTGTATACATTTATGCAGGGGTAGCCTATCTGTACATATACTATCTAAAATTTTGCCTGGAAAGTTGATGGTTTGGAATGCCTAATGAATAGATTCTGTCAAAAATATCGAAAAATGTCAGATACCAAATGCTTGTATCACAAATGTTATGAATCTTGTCAATGTTATTCTTTCAATAGTTATGATTTTAGAGATTAAGTGTAACGAACTCAACGAAGAAATTGTATTCCCTCAAGATTCTATTGATCAACAGCTGGCAACTGAGAAACCAGAAGAAAATGTCGGCAAGTATTAACAATTCCATACTTTGTTATCTAGGTTATTAAAATATCTCTTTGAGTGTAGATATTTGTTAATATTTAGTTACTCTTTTAAGAAATCTTCAAAGTGTGCGAGGATGGTTTAGGCTGTATAGAAACTGATCAGACTTGGTACCATAAAGAATACAGACCTGTAAATTTGAGACCTTTGGCTAGGCATATTATAAAAACAGACTTTTTACTGATCAAAAAAGCTAACACGGTAATCTGATAACTAGTAAATCCCAAAAACTCTCTTTTTTAACTGATATTCATAATTTCAGGAAGAAGATCAATTATTGTATACCAGTTTTCAACCAAAACAAGATTCAATTAAAAGGGCAGGATTTTCTAATGATTCAGAGCTCATGATTCTGATACATGATTTTACTGGAAATGGATATACGGGGTGGATTAAGGTATTTACATTCTATATAAAATATTATGCTAAATTAACTGCGAAATATGTTTTTTCTGGGACAAGTAAGTACGATCTTAAAGAAACAGAACTATCAAACCTATGGAAACTCTGCATACCCAGTAAATTAATAGCAGAAAACCACAAACAAGCCACGGCAGGTCATTTAGGAATAGCAAAAACAATAACTCGACTAGCCAGGAAGTACTATTGGCCAGGCATGTTTAAGGATACCTCAACCTTTGTTAGAAACTTCAAAAACTGTCAACAATATAAAGTAGAACAGAGGCAAGCCCCAGGACTTATGCACTCAACTCACATACCACTACACCCTTGGCACACAGTATCCACAGATGTGATCAGACCCCTTCCAACGTCCATCAAAGGGAATAACTTTGCCATCTGTAATTTCTTCTGGGGTTTGTTCTCACAAAATGTAAATACGTCTGTTCGTAAAACCTATCCTGTTAACAGTATTTCAATTTTTGCTAAAGTCTCAATTCAAAAAGTCAGATCCTTCTCCTGGTCTTAACTCAAGAAAGTACTTCTACCAATTTTTTTTTTCGTGCTGCCTGTTATCATGTGGTTTCTTAAAGCCCTTCTTGGTATAGAGTAAAGTCTACTTGCAGCTAGAACCCTGAGCTCCCCATTACTAACTGAAGTCAATACGATCTTTAATTGCTGCTGACTCTATAAAGCTGTTTTTTAGGCAACAAGCTGAAATAAAAACAAGAAATATAATAAAAATATCAGTTTGGTCCTTATAAGGTTAATATACACCAAACAAGGTCCTTATCATTATTTATCGTAAGAAGTCATGTTTTCAAAAATAAATCTATCTAAAACTTGTTTTTTACCCAAGTAACAATTTGATATTTTATAAAAGCTGAAAAAATGTTTACAGAACAAAATTTATAAAATAGAATATTAGCTAAGAACATTTCCGGAACATTCTTTCAACAGTAATAAACACAAAATGGGCGCAGTATTACAGAACTATTTGGTTCTTTTGTAAATTCTATAAGATTTGTTGAATGCAGTTACCGAACAGTTACTACACATTTACACAGACTTTAAACAAATGTTTTTTTAAACTTTTATAACTGTTTTATAAATTTTTAATTTTGAGGTTAGGTTGCATATCAAAATCAGTAACATTTTAGTTTTTTAAATGTGTCTGGTGAAAACAAATTAATTCTATATTTGTCATAAAAGTAAATTCAAGGCGATATTAGTAAAATGGCAGTATTTACTTAAGAGATATCTATAACGCGGTTTAAACATAATGTATGACCTACAATAAAGTCGTTTTTGGATGCGCAGCAAGAATTACTGTTAATTATATAGCACATACAATACTAAATTTTTAAGCGCCTCGAGTTTGATTCATATTTCTAATACTTTTTCAGTGTGAAACAAAAATTAAATTTATGCAATTTGATTTTTTTTTAGTAATAAGATTATGCTAATATTACTAATGATTAAAATCTTTAATTAACATTGGTTTTGTCTTAAATACTAGTAAAACCGACAGTAGATTTAGCTTTAAAACTGTCTTAGGTTTGTGTTAAATATGGCGGCTATTCAGAGGTATTAGAAAGTTATTTTAAGACTGAATCATAATTATAAAATATTATTGTAGTAAAAACAGCTGTAATACAATAATTAAGTAGTATTACTCATTTCTACAAAACAAGTTCATCATGGTTTGTTGTATAATAGTTTCATATTGCTGCACTATATGACAAAATATAACATAACCTTACTAAATCGTTTCCGATTTAAGTATTTGGGAATTGAAATGATTAGATTTGTTTCTACAGCTTTATAGAGCAAGCATAATTTTTAATATTACGAGAATAAGCAAATTTAACATGGACATCGCCAAAAATATGGCTTTCTTTTAGTATTGGGGCATGATTATTCAGAACATACCTAATTATTATCTGGCTAAATGATAGTTTTTTTTTTGAGTGTCTAGACAAACCATCAAAATGTTTTACTAATATTTTTTACTGTTCTCTGAAAAGCAGGTACCACTTATTTTTTATATTTCTTCACTATTTAAATCTGACATTTTCAGACCATACACTCACATACAATTGGTATGGGAAGTAGTTGAACAAACATAAAATACAAAAATAATATGGCGTAGGTACTACCAAATGTAGTTACTTTATTTTTTTATAAATATTTTTAAAGGGATAATACTATTCTTAACTAAAATAATTGCTATACAGTTTTCTGATTTGTAATAGTGTATTTCGACAATATATTACAGTTATTTTAGAGTTTTCATTAGAAGCAAATTGCTATTGATGCGGAATTATCTCACACTAATATTTATATAACTATTTTTTAAAGCGTTATTATGAGGTTAAGAAACAGTTATATTTGTATGACCAAAAAGTTCTAAAGGTAATCCAGAACAATAATATAGAATAACTATAAAGCAATTTTATTTTATAAGCTGAAATATTGTATAGAACAGTTGTATAAATGTTTATGTAACAATTTCATAGTTATCGTGAAAACTATTTTATAATTTTGCTGTAAGAATATTGTAAAAACTAATTTATATAACTATTGAGTTTCAGAGAACAAAATAGTGATTTCTGCAACTGTAGTACAATAAATTAGCATTCCAGAAACAGCAATATAATATCAATAAAATATAATAGTCTTGTAAACTAAAAATTATAAAGCTACTTTGTTAGTTGGGTAAGGTTTGTTAAATCTAACTTTACTATCATCAGAAAGAATATTAAACGAATGACTTAAATTAATTTTAACTTAAAATATTTACCTGTTTTTAAAATATAGTCCCAAAGCAAACAATCCGATGTTGCACCCGTCACGTTTCTTGCTACAATATCGAAATAGAGCGAGCGACACGGCGCTTGCAGCCTGGCCCGTTCTTGGAGATATCCTTACAAGATTATTTAATTATAATTACCATTACATAGTGTACGGTGTTGCCAATATTAGCAGTGGGCCTTCTTAAGCTCAAGGACTTTATTTGGCTTAGGCTCATTAATAAGAGTTTTATAAGCGTTCAACCTCGTGTATATTCTTGTACCATCCAAAAAGTTTTCTGACCTTTCAGAGGATGTTACAAAAGTTACTTGTTAAACAAATATGAGATACATGGAAAATGGTTGTGTCGTGTCATAACATTCTATCAAACATGTTTACGCTAAAATCTTACTGTTATAGCGATTCTGGAACTGTTGACAAAGATTTATCAATCGGTAGATGCAAATAGGCCATCCCTAACTGTATTTCTGGATTTTGCAAAGGCCTTTGATACCGTAGATCACGGACTATTATTAGAGGCCTTGGAGGATACGGGAATACGAGGACCGACTTTAAATCTCTTCAAAATTTATCTTGAGAACAGATATCAGAAAGTAAAAGTTAACAGCGAATTTAGCGGAGAGAGAATGATAAAAACTGGTGTTCCCCAAGGTACCGTCCTAGGACCCACATTATTTTCAATATATGTAAACAACTTATACATACAAAAGACTGCAGGACAAATAGTGAGTTTTGCTGACGACACAGCCATTTATTATGAAGCCGACTCATGGGAGGAATTAAAAAAAATATGCGAAAATGATATAAAAGGAATAGTGGATTGGTGTACGCATAAGAAACTAACAATAAATTATACAAAATCATTTTTTTTGCCTTTTGCTAGCTATATTAATCATTTACCATCTTTTAATGACCTCAGTTTTACATATAACAACGAAACACTCACACTACAAAAAAAAAATGAAATAAAATATTTAGGCGTTACCTTGGATTGTCACTTACGATGGGATAAACACATAAATAGCTTAACTAACACCTTAAGAATGTTATTATTTAAATTTAAATATCTTAAAACTATAATCAGTACTACATACCTAAGAATTATTTATTACTCGTTGTTTCAAAGTAGACTTCAGTATGCTATCATCTGTTGGGGTGGCGCAACAAAAAATCATATTAACAAATTGGAAATATTACAAAAAAGAATACTAAAAATAATACATAATAAAAAGGTTAGATACCCCACAGATCATTTGTTTGATGAAGTCAAAATTATGGATGTTAGACAGCTGTATGTATATGCAGTCACTTTATATACATACAAAAATAAACACAATTTACAGAAAAGAACATATTCTTACAACACCAGAAATAAATATTTAGTATATACTCACCTTGTCAATAAATCAATTTCCCAAAGATTTTACCTATATTTAAATGGAAAAATCTTTAATTTTCTTCCAGATATATATAAGACATATTTATATACAATAAATTCCTCTAAGCTATTTAAACAAATATTGAAAAAATTCATAATAAATAGTGACAGAAAAGCTATGAGAGCGCTGATCGATTAGCAAAAAAAAAAGAAAAATTTAACTGTGATAAAATGTGTTATTAGATCTTGGTGTTTGTACTGTAAAATATACTTCCTTTTAATCCACTATAGTTTATAAATTACTTTTATTGGTTTTTTTTTTGTTCACTTATTCTAATTATTAAAATATATTCAATTTATTGTTTTTATTATTATTATTAATATTATTAAAATTATTTTTATTGTCATTATTATAATTATTATTATTATATAAGTCTATAACTGAGTTATTATATTGTATGTTTCTAGTTATTTTAATATCCGTTTTATATATTTTTTTTAAATGTATTTTAGAATCAAATAAGCACACAATATTAAGTTAACATTAGGTAATGATTTGGCAGCCCATGCGCAACCAATTGGTCATAAATGGGCGACCAGTTTACATATTATTTGAACTTTTTAATGTATTTTATTATTGTATATGGATACTGAATGCTAAATAAATTTATTATTATTATTATTATTATTAATTATGAAAATTAAATTATAATAATTATTAAAGTTTCAAGAGTTACCTTATTAGGTAAATAAACTATAAAAATTTAATTTTTTTTTTTAATTCTAGCACTTATCCCACAAAATACTAGAAAGCTCTATGGACTACAATTTAATATCTGTAGATTGGCAAAGAGGTGCTGAACCTCCATTTGATCAGGCTATAGCAAACGCTAGACTCGTAGCCCTAGAAATACTAATACTAATGAAAGAATTAAAGGTAAGTGAATGTTTTTAGTATCCATCTTAACTTTAAATAATGAATTACTTTTAGGAGAATATGGGCTATGGTTTGGATGAAATTCATATTATTGGACACGGTGTAGGGGCTCATATAGCAGGATATGTTGGATACTCATATAATAAAATTAAAAAAATCACAGGTATAACCAAAAAATTAGAGGTATCTTACTGTGAGTTTGGGTGATCTTCATAAAAAGGTTCTAATTTTATTATCAATATTATACGGCCCAGTTTTTATTTAATTGGGATGACCAATATATGCCGCATTTTTTTTATATATTCTTCTAAAGAAAATTATGAAAAACAATGTTTGAATTACCTAAAAGGAAAGAAGAATTTCGAGAGTTAGTATAACTGTACAGAAAGAGAGCTATGTTTGACCCTCATTCTCTCCAGTTAAAACAAATCAGATCAAACAGTAAATGTTTCTAAAGCACGACTTAGAAATATTCACGTATGTCAAATTGTTAAATTTTTTTCCTATTTAGTTTGAATTTTATTTAGAACCATGCATCTCTGTCTTTTTCTGCCATGGTCTACTTTAAAAATATTTGTATTTCCTTCCTAAATATTATTACGTGATATGTCAATACTTATGGCAATCCCAACCTATTAAAAATAAACTCGTTCTTCCTACTCGATTATCGATAATAAGCGTGTCCTTATACCATTGACAATATATATTTTTATTTTAGGTCTGGACCCAAGTGGACCTAGATTTGAAGGGATGCCATTCAATGTTAAGTTAAACCCTAGATGTGCTAAATATGTTGAAGTGATACATACTGATTATTATCAAAGTAAATATACATTTTTTGGTGTATTTAAAATTGTATATGTTGGTCAAATATAATATAAACAGGGTGTTTCAAAAATTGTTATTTTGCAAGTTGGTCTCAAAGGACACAAACGTTGCCTTGACACTAAAACCAAGGGTTTACTTGGCTTTACACCTTTTAGATAATAGACAATTCAAAAATGTGAAGGTCAGTCAATCTTCATAGAAGTTTGTCTACGGTATAGTAGTGGGGATAAAACTCCTCCTTGTGAACATCTTCTGGTTGTGCAGTTTTCGTAGATAGCAGCTGAGCCATCCATCTGGATGTTGTGCTATCTACTCCTTATTCAGGTGCTCTTTTTACAGATTTGTGTGGCGTGTTTGTTTTTCAGTGCATCTTGGATTACGTCAATCAGCTGTACCAGGGCAGTTTCTGTAAATCTTCCTAATCGGTATGCGTATTGGCTGTGGTAGAGTCATCTGTTCTAATATAATTATCAACAGCCTCCTCCATTGTTTTTAATACGAAGGATGTGAGGCTTATTGGTCGGAAGGATTTAGGATATATCCTTTTCTTACTTTTGAAATAAAAGTCATTGGCCGTTCTCCATTATTCTGATATATATCTCAGTTCCAGCTTGCTCCGGATATCTGGATTATGTATGTATCTCCTCCTGTGCATCCTAAAGCAGAGCAGTAAGTATTCCATATACACCTGAAGACAAACGGTTTAAAATTATTTACAGCCACCTCTCTTGTGGGTCTGCTTACCTTAGTTGTGCTACTTATTAGAAAAGGGACACAATTATCTTGTGATCAGATAGAGATGGTTTAATCGATATGTGATATTTAACATCTCACTTCTTGCCCTTGTTACAAATGCACAATAAGGTTTTTAATAAAAATGTATTCTAGAACTCGCCCACCTATTTAATTGTTGTCGTTGCTTTCCCATATGGTTCTGTGCGTGTTGGCGTCGCATAGAAGAAGTAATGGTAGATTCATTTTCTGGTAGTACTTCACTAGTCTTGATACCTACTTTCAAGGGTGGTACAGGCCTATCTTCAGTGAAGTAACTAGTAGCTATTACTATGTCTTGCCGCATGATCCCAAGTTTAAGGTATGCTTAAATTGGGACGAGTCCACGCGTCATGAATTCTGAAAGACAAGAATATTTAATAATATTCTTTATCATAATACATGTTCTGGGTACTTCATCAGTATTGTGATAAATTATTCTTGCATCTTTTTTGCGTGAGCCCATGGTTCCTGGATCAGTACGATTTCTAATTGTTCTTTGATGAATGCTCTGGAGATTAATACCAGTCATTTTAATTATTATCGATGAAATTGTTGTACACACTGATGAGGGTGTGTTCCATGTCCTCCTCTTCTATTTTTTCTCCTTCTCCTTCAATGACTTCATCCTAAGATGACTTAAGGTTAAGGCTCTTAATGCTCTTTATGTCCCTCTCATCGTTGGATGTACCGGGAGTTGTTTCCGTATGTCTTTCTAGTTCTTCTGCCTGATCCTTCTTTTGAAGACCATGTACATGAATTTTCCAGAACCGATGATGGATAGCATATCCATTATCTTTGATCCTCTGGCAAAATAGGTCATCTATTTATTCATCTTGATGATTTGGCTTTTACCCTCGTCTCTTTTATTGACCATATTCCACAGTTTCATTGAAGGCCCCATATTTTGTGCTTCTATTAACTGCAAAAGCTATTATACAATATTCCCTTGACTTCTGGGGAGAAAGAGTGTAGCAGTATGTGCTTCCTGGTTATCTCCTCCCGCATATACTTTCAGCTCAAGTTGCTCAAGTGTGGGATTTTAACCCTGAACCAATATGTGGAGTTTCACAGTCCATTAGAACCGTACCTGGCCTGATGTAAATGCCTCCAAATTGAAGCATATTGTGCTACCATCCAGAGAACATTTCTTCCTCTATGGATTTATCTAATAAGGTTTGATCGTCAGCACTGAGGATATTCTCATGTAACCTCTTAGATAGAATTGCGTCTCGCTCTGTCTTGGCGACAGTTGCATAACTGCTGGAAGCGGAGGTGATGGCTATTTTTCTTTTCTTGTCAGTTATTTACGGTGGTGTGATATTGTTTCCTTACTGCATTTTTTTAAGATCTTTTGAAATGTTTTTCGTCTCATTTTCTTGGAATATGTGCTTAGCAGATTTTTATTCGTTTTCTCTGGTATCAAGCTCTGATTAAAGTAGCGATTATACCATTTGATACTTTCTTCACTCTTGTCTCAGTGCGTCTTCCTTTCCCTTCCTCAAGAGGAAGGTAGCAGAGGTAATTTTCTTTTATACTTTTTATGGAGAGCTTCCCTTGCTAGTAGGTTGTAAGAAGATGTGTTGGTAGTGCTCCTCTTCTCTGTTCCCTTCGACCCTTTCTTTTGTTATCCTGTTTCTCTCTTGTGAGTTTTTCTCTTCGTTCAATCAGATTTGGAGGCGCAGAGCCCCGTATGTGCCGGCAAGGCTGGATACATTCGCAATCGCTTTCCCAGTGGCTATTCAGCCTTCCACACGTTGCTTTACACCTTAGTTTGGGTTTTGATGGAGTTTCATTCGAGGAGGCAGATACTTGATGATTGCATTTCTCCATTGGCATGCAGAATAAGTTACCTACAAGCAGGAAAGCAAATAAGCAAGCTACAAAACAATGGCTAAAGTGCAATCGATGTCATACATCTAAGTTGTATTTATAAATAAAGTTCTTCCATTAGAATAATAAATGTTCCAAATTATAGCAAAACAGATAAATCTTTAAATACCTTTCTAATGTAAGTACTGAAACACTAAACTAGAATTATTCAATTGATTGAATAAAATTTCCTATCTATCTCGTAAAAACGCCCAATAATACTGTTTCAGATGACCTCGTCCGATTTTTGCATAGCCGAGAAGTATAATAATTACGAAGGGAAACAGATTCGTACTTAAAACATTAAAGCTTTATATCTTCCTTATTTTTGAGTTTATAAAAAATGTGAACCAAAAATATGTCTAATGGAATAGATACCCTATTAGAAATATCCACATCTTTTGAAACACCCTGTTTTTCTAAAAACCTGTTTTTTACATTTATATGTAAATAAACTATTTTTGTTATATAATTATATAAAAATTATATTTAGGTAATTCTATATACCTACTTTTCCCAGGCTTTTTTTCTAGCTAGAAGCCAAGGGATTAGCGAAAATTTGGGCCACAGTGACTTTTTCGTTAACGGAGAACAAGAACAACCGGGTTGTTCAGTAGACACAAATTTTAGCAAACTGGTATCAGTAGAAAGAGGAAGTTTAAAGGAAGGCGAGATCCTACCAGGATGCAGTCACAAACGGGCATTTAAGTACTTCATCGAATCAATAGGAAATAAAAATTGCACGTTTCAAGGAATTAGGTGTAATAATCTACAGGATTTTCAAAATGCAAGTTTTCAAATATGTCATTATTTAATGAAACATTTAATTGTTATTCTATTTGTATTTGTATTGGACCCTTTACTTAAGTAAATTTAAAAAACATTCACAGAATGGTATCTCTTTTGTTATCCAATGTTTTGAATTGAAGATTATTATATGAGGCACTAATATTTCAAAACACTATTTAGTGCTTAAAGTAAAATATTTATAATGTATTATAATATGAAAAATCTTATTTTTAGGGTAAATGTACTAACTGTAACTTACCAGGACATGATTGTAGATTGTTTGGTTTAAAAACTTATCTGGAAACTTCCGAAAACAACATGTTTTTTCTGAATACTGCCAGTCATTCTCCGTTTTGCTGTAAGTGTAGACGTTTGTCAAATTTAAATTATGTATAAGTAATGTTAAAGAAAAGATTGGGTTACTATGCTTTTTCAAGCTATTTTAAATTTAACAAGCTAATCTAATTATTTTCTTATACTATGCCACAGATGACAAAAGGGCAATGAAGAAACTGATTTGCTATTTTAAGAAGAAGCTTCAAAGACTCTTATTGGCCTTGAACTATTCTGTGGTATCACAGCTATGAGAACAAGCACAAAACTTAGGACTGGTGGAAAAATTCACCAGGATAAAGATAAAAATCTAGAGTACTAGCAGGTCTATTAACGGGACATTTATGTAGACTAAACAAACATATGTATAATATTGAAGGAAACCGAAGAAGATCTTTTGCGACAATGTTTTAAAACAGGATAGCGCGCTTTGACTTTTAGTATGAGCAGAAAAAAAATTAATTTTTTTTTAAAAACTCTCTCGTGGATGCAACGACTACTTCCGAATTCATAGCCTTACCATTGCTAAGCACTTTTATGATCATAAACTTAAAGAAGCTGAAGAGAATTTAGAACTAGGAAAAGCTCCTGATCTAGATGATATTTTTACGCAGTCAGTGAAAGTAGCGATTGAAAAGTTTCTGAAAGAAATCCTAAATATATTGAATGTTATTTTTGATCCACAGTATTGCATGGAAAAGAGCAAATGTTATTTTAATAACGAAGGATGGAACTAGTTGCAGGCCAATTTGCCTAATAAATATATTGAGGTAGGTGTTTGAAAACCTAATAAATAGAAGACTTGAGGTAGAGAGAGAAGAATGGTTGTATTTATGAAGAACAATTTGGTTTTGGGAGTGGTAAAGTGCTAAAGAAACCGTAATAATTCTGGATAACGGCGGAAAATGTACAGTACACATATTCTTATAAATATAAGAAACTCATTTAACACGGCTGGCTGGAGTTTAATAACGATCAACTTACAGGAACAACAATAAGTCAATATTTAACTAACATCATAGCTATCTGAGAGATTTAGAATTGCAAGTGGTTACCCAGGAGAATGCAATGACCCAGGAAGTCCCACAGAGTTCTATGCTTGGTACAAACCTGTGAGTTAGATCTAATAAGCGGATATAGCAAAGCTTCCCATATCGATTACCTTACCCTGATCGTAAAGACTAATACAAGACGCAATTGAAATAGCACCAGAAAAACTAAACGTTTTATTATCAAACGTAAGAGAGTAGTGGAAGGTATTAAAGTTAGAAAATACTGTCATTACTCCAGTTAAGGCAGTTAAATACCTGGGATATGGATTGATGACGGAGGCATTTTTAATATTCATGTCAAGAAGAGAGGAGAAAAGGCAAAGAAGCAAGTCAATCGAAAATCTTGACCAATATGGAAGGTTCAAGCAGCACCAAAGGCGAATGATGTATGGAGTGAGTCTGTATTCAGCACCAATATGTGCTATAACAGTAAAAATATATATACAAATCTGGCGTTGAGAATAGAGCTTAAAAGGTTACATAGAGTAGCCTTCGCGAATAGAAGGGTATCAATAAGAGCACTGCAGTTACTACATGTTTTTTTTTCCGGTTACACTTGTAGATAAAATAAAAGTTTAAAACAATAGATCTCTGGTAGGATAGGTGGATCAGCAATACTGACAAAGCAGCCTGGATCTATGCACATGTGGGAATAGCCCACTGCATTACGAAGTAAGCTGAGTTCATGGTTAATCATAGAATCATTACCAGTTATCTCCTTAACACAACAAGAGAGGTCTCAGTTTACAAGAGAAACCCGCAGGGAGGAGTGTTATCTCCTCTTATGTGGACCTTGGTGGTTAATGACCTCTTTTTGGAGTTACAGAAAGAAAACTTATAGACGCTAGCATTTGCAGACGACATAAGCATAGTAGTAAAGCAGCGGTCACTAAATATCGTCGAAAGATGGTGCCTAAAAGAAGGAGTGTCCACAAACCCGATAAAAACATCTGTTATTGCATTTACAAGAAAAATGAAACTTAAGGAATGAAGGAGTTTTGTATGTGGAGGTAACATCTAAAAATGGCAAAAGAGGTTAAATATCTTGAAATCACGTTTGATGATAAGCTTAGCTTCTGTAGCCATATAGAAAAAAACAACAGAAAAGCTTTAAGATGGATAGTAGGGAACATATGGGGACTTAAACCTAGTATAATGCACTGGCTTTACACTATGGTTGTAGTACCTGTTATAACTTACTCATCAGTCATATGGTGGTACAAGACTAAAAGCTAACAGCTAACAGAAAATTAGACAAGGTAAAAAGACAAGCCTGTCTAAAAATAACAGAAGCATTTAAAACTACGCCCACAGCAGCAATGGAGCTACTGCTAGCTCTTCCTTCACTACATCTTGTGATGGAGAAAGAGTCAATGGCAGCGGCATACAGGATCTTTACTAATAAATTTGGATGGGAACTTTCCAGAAAAGGACTACACAATGATATTATAAATTAAAACAAAATCCGGTACTAATAATGCCATCGGATAGAACGCCCATTATTCACGACTTCAGGAAACCTTTCGATATTCAAATACCAGAAAGGGTCAAAAGCCGAGAAAATAGGGAAAAAACAGAACGAATCAATCTGGTATACAGACGGTTTAAAAATGAAAAACTGCAAACGTGAACTCAGGAAGGACCATTATTCTGAACCTGGGGTCACTGACAACAGTCTTCCAGACTGAAGTAACAGCAATAAATGCCTACGCCAAAGTCATGCTAAATGACTATTTTAGAGATAAGAGGGTCTTTATCATGACAGACAGTCAGGCAGCCCTTAAAGCACTGAATACTCGATTGCCAACAGTACCTCAAGGCCGTAATAGGACTCCTTGCGGGACACTGCGACCTTAGTAGACACCTAAATCTTTTAGGGATATCTGATGACTCCATATGTAGAATATGTGAAGAGGATGACGAAAATCCTATTTACATACTATGCCACTGTCGGAACCTTAAATGGGAACGGGAATGGTACTTTGGGACACAATATCCGGAGCCTTAAGAAAACACGAAAGCACCCATCAGACAAGTTGGTTTGACTGTAACTTTAAGGAAACAAACCATTATCTAATTCATTTTTTTACGTGATACTGCTCTTTCAAGATCTATACTTATAGAAAATATTACAAAACTTGACAGTTATTGTCTGAGTTGTACTGAGAAGAAAACGGCAGAACACACATGTTTTTAATACAAAAGATGGTCAAGGTATTATAGACAGGTATTATAATTATCACCAAAAGCTGAAATAACCCAAACTTATAGCTAATAGAAAGAAACGGATTGAAGGCATAAGAGAAATAATGGAGATTATAAAGTACAAAGAGAAAGAATAAAGGGACAACCAGAAAAGAAACTGACAGAGATGAATGAAGCAATACACATATTTTACCGGCATCTCTATGACAAGAGGTTGTTTAATATTTCTTGTAGATGAGCACTTATCGTCGAATGAGGATATCGTTAAGAAAATAAGTCAAGATTTTAAGTGGCACGTACCATTTGTAACGCCTATAGCTACCTAAGAGCCCCAGTCTTAACGTCGCTCTTTCGTGAATTCGTTGGACATTTTAATAATATATTTAACCATAAGTAAATAAGTTACAAATCTGCACGTTGGATGTAATACTACAACTACAAGGAGCTATAACTCTCTTATAAAAGCATTTTTTGGGTAATTTAAATAGCTCTAATCAAGGTTAATATCAGAGTTTCCGTTTGGAAGTCTAGTTTTTAATTAATTGTATTTATTTTAGTGTTGGAGTATAAAATAACAGTCTTTATAAATGATGAGGAGAAAAATGGTTATTTTGATTTTATTTTAATCGATGAAAATGCTGATGTATCAGAAGCCTATCTGTCACCCGAAAATGGGTAAGAATTAACAACTATTCTATCAACGGTTCTATTTAGAAGTTAAATATTGTATATATTTAGTACTTATATCGAGAAAAATTCAATATTGTTGATGTTTTAAAATCCAAATTATAAAGAATGGCAGAAGTATTCAAACAAAAAGTATTAATATTTTACCATAAGACGTATATCACTAAATACAGAGTCTTAGGGATATAACATCTACAGAATTTTAAAATGTGATTAATAAAGTAAAAAAAACACTATATACTTAGTCCTAAATTCTAAGGTGACAAGAATATCTTAACCATAAGACTTTTAGCATACTTTTGTACCACTGCTAACCTACCTATGAATTGTTTTTAAGAAATTATAAGAAACATTTCATTAATAATTTCAATTTTTATATTACACTTTCACTATAAGATTATGGTTATAAAGAATTAAAAGAATCATAAAATAACCCTAAAAACTGTCGTGAACAAATGTAATTAAAAGAGCGAATTCGGGTGAACGGATTATTATTTTTTCCTTAAATGTTACGTCTAACATGATTTTCAATTTAACACTTGTTAGATGTGGACGATTTGTTTCAAGAAGATATTATTTAGGAAAATACGGTTTATTTTATAGAGCTATATCTTTGTTCGCTCCACATTCCCTTCTCAATCACCCATTACAAATATGCGGGTGTTACATCCCTAACAATTATGGCCCTTCTAAAAAACGTATTAAGTATGTGGGCCAGATAGTACCATTTAAGCAAATATAAATACGTTTTAATATTTTCCGAAATTTTTATAATTTTAGGAATAACTTTAGAAAATTACTAGGTGGTCCTGAACACCATGAAACTGGTAACAGTTTTATTTATTTCGCAACACCACCCAAGCTCCACAACATTCGAGAATTAAAAGTTAGATGGAATGAAAAAATGTCTCTTAGTTGCGTTTTCTTTTGTAAAAAAACGATTGCTTTACAAAAGGTTACTATCTCGTTTTTGGGTACAGGACATAATGATGCCAGGTAATGATTCCTAAAATCACTATACACACAACCAAACTTATATGGAATCGCTGTTTTTCCCAATAAACTTTTTGTAAGAAAAAAATTTGGTATCCAACTTTAAGGTAAGGCGTTTTGTTCAGAAAAACATGATAATAAAGAAGAAAAACTACTGGTGCGATTTATTATCTTGTCAATTTTGTGTTCAGAAGTAAAATCAGATTTTATTTCGGTCCAAAACAAAACAATGACTTATGTTGGACTAACAGATATGCAGAGGGGAAGAATTATTGCTTTAATTAAACAAGGAATGTCTAAATGAGACATAGCAGAGGTAGTAAGCGATACCAAGGATATTGTATCGAAAACATATGAAAGGTACTTGGAACTAGAAACAGGCCCAAACAAAGTTGTTAAAGGATCACAACTGAACAACAGGTGTCACAGTTTTAGACTAGCATGTTCACCAGACCAAAATCCTATCGAATACTTGTGGGACCAGCTCAAAAGAATAGCTAGAGCTCGTCGAAACAATACAGGAAATGTCGCACAGCTTATTAATACAGCATTGGCAGGATAAGAAAACATAACTCAAGATAATGTTGACATAAATCCATTGAGGAAACCGACTCGGGGCTTTGTGGCCTTTTGAGAGGGCTTCTGCCACTTTTGGTAGAGGGGTCTTTGGCGGACTTCTTGCCTTCTTTGCCCTTGGCTTTCTGGAGTCTGGTGATTTTTGGCCCATTTTGGCCTTGACTTTTTGCCCCACCGGCTTTATTTTAGAGCCTTTTTGGACCAGTTTTGCCCTGTTCCTCTCCTTTCTTTGAGACGGAACATTATACGTACCGTTCCAAAGTACGGTGACATGTCCAGCTTCTGGAGTTCGATGTATGACTCTTCGTCTACGGAGATGGCCCAAGTATGGCCTTTCTCCATTGGAGTTGGAGTCAGTACCTTCCAGAGGTTGATTTTAAGGGTGTTGTTGCTGACCCTCAGTCTGTTAAGGATTCTTTGGACATCTAGCCCCTTTCCACCCTCGTCTGCTATGTACGTTGTACATATCCTTAGTTTTGGGATGTCGATTTCCTGCCGAGCCTCGAGGGTTATACCCTCCTAGGGCCTAAGCGTGGGCACCACATCCATTAACCATTGTGCACTAAGGCTGTCTGCACAACGTACTACAATGTATCCCGGCCTGTGTGTGCATTTGGCAAAACGCACCTGTGGCCCTCCCATCCCAGACAGCACAAATCAATCCATTGGATGTCCATCGGAAGTCCATTCATGGACATATCGGCTGTCCAAAGGACGTCCAGCATTTTACCAAAGGACATCCACTGGACTATACAAATGTCCCACTCCTGGACGTCCATTTGGACTCCATGAAAGGTCCATATATGGACTCTTTTTGTATTGCTTTTGGACAATTTATGGACATCTGACGGACATCACCACCTATATTAATATGAAATAAAATAATTGCAACTATAGACTTATTTTTATTGTCATAAATAATATCAAGCATGTATTAGTTTTATACGCACTCCTTTCTGTTGACCTTCTCAGCCATTTTCTTAAGGCTATTTCGCTTACTTTTTAAGCAGCACCATTGTTACTCTCAGCAGCAGCAGCTAAAAAAGACATTACATTTTATACGAATATTGAGTCTTAAATCAATAGAATAGAATAGAATAGAATAGAATTTTATTTGTCATAAGTATTATACATAGAAAACAAAACACAATTTTTTAATGTATAAGTACTAACAGACTAGTCAATTTAAAATTAAAACAATATAATACAGATTAATTGCAATACATACACTTAAACTAACGCAATAATATATTAGAGATAACAATTAAGGATTAAAATTAAGGAATTCCTCCACACTGTAAAATACATTTTTTGCTAAAAATACTTTAAGTTTATTCTTAAACTGTTTTATTTTGTCTATTTCGGGACTATTATTTTTATCTATTATGCTACTGAATTTATTATAGCATTTAATTCCAATATACTTGGGTGAGTGTTGAGCAATTTCTAGGCGTGAGAAAGGTTGATGTATGTTAGTTTTTGTCTAGTGTTATATGAATGTATGTTTTCGTTTTTGTTAAGAGTATGTTCATTTTCTTGAACGTACAATATTAATTGGTAGATGAAAAGACATGGTAGTGTTAGAATGTCAGATTTTTCAAAAAGTGATTTGCATGATGTTGTGGGTGATACATTATATAAAGCTCTCATTACTTTTTTCTGTGCCACGAATGCTTTGTTGACGTGAGATGATGCACCCCAAAATATTAAACCATATTGAAGAGTAGACTGCACAAGTCCATAATAAAGAAGCTTTAATACATCAAAAGTCACAGTTTCTCTTAAGTTTCTAATAACATAGCAATGGGAGCATATTTTTTTAGTTACATTATCTATGTGAGCTTCCCACGTTAGCTTAGGGTCTAATGTAATTCCCAAAAATTTAACATTTTCACTATTTTGTATAGATTTACCATTAATATGTAAGTACGGTTCAAGATTTGGGCTGGTATTCTTGGGTAGAAAACGAATGAAGTTAGTTTTTGATACATTCAATGCCAGACCATTTTCTCTAGAATATTTGTTAAATTCAAAAGATGCATTATTGCTGCTTTGCACAAGGTGTTCAAATTGATGATCCGCTATAAGAATGTTTGTATCATCAGCATATTGGATAATCTGATGAGGACTGGTACAAAATTTATTGATATCACTAACAAATATTATAAAAAATACTGGCCCTAGTATTGATCCCTGCGGTACTCCCATTGTATATTTGAGAGGAGTTGATTTCTTGTTATCAGTTATAACTACTTGTGTTCTGTTTGATAAGTAAGATTTAGCCCAATCGTAAGGTTTTCCCCGTATTCCCATACCTTCTATTTTAAGTAACAAGAGATTATGATCCACCGTGTCAAATGCACGGCTCAGGTCATAGAAAAGTGCCAAAGTATTTTTCTTATCATTTAATGCACTATAAATAAAATCCAAACAAGCTGCCATAGCACTGGCAGTAGATTTTTTACTGCGGAATCCATTTTGAATTGCTGGTAGTAATTTAAAATGTTCAAGATAGTTTATAAGCCTTATAGAATACGCAGATTCAAAAATTTTTGTAATTTGACTTGGAATACAGATTAAACGATAATTGTTTATATCACTTGGTGAACCTTTATTTTTATAGATAGGAATTCCTTTAGACTGTTTTAATTCCGGAAAAACTCCGAATTTAAAAGATTCATTAATCAAATGAGATAAAGGTTCAGCAATGTGAGTGGCTACTGATCTTATGATTTTGCCGTTTATTTCATCAATTCCCTCAGCCGATTTTAAGGTGGTTTTATGGATAATAGAGATTACCTCTTCCGGTGTTGTTGGAAAGAGGAAGAAACTTATATGGAAGTTGTCTATTTTCATATTATAGTCAGGAATAGTGTTAGTTTGATTTATATTTATAAAATAATTATTAATAAAATTAGCTTTTTCTACATTTTTTTCAGTTTCAATTGCATTTAGTGATTTATTTTTAATTTTACCCTGATTTTCGTTTATTATATTCCAGCTCTCTTTGGATGGAGATACCTTCGTAGGCACTTATTATATAGAATCTTCGACAGCTGTTTGCTGCCCCGTTTCCATAAGTGCCTCTGGAAAGCCGGTTCTCTCCACTGCGATCTTTGTGGTGGTAAGGGCCTCTTTGAAGGTTACCCCTTTAATTTTGGCCATCTTTTCCACTTTCCGATCCGCAGGGCGAGTATATCCTTCCAATATTGGTCTTTTTTTCGACCTGGCTGGCCTCGGTGCTTGAAGTTTGAGGTGGCTTAACTTGGGATCTGACAAAGTTTTTCTATTATGCCTCGTTTGGCAGCAATGAAATCTTTGCCAGGTTTAACAAGGTAGTTTAGCCTTACTCTCGTCCGACCGGATATGACAAAGAATCTGACTTCCGTGTCTGACATTAGGTCAATCTCCTCTTCGGAGGCGACTCTTCTGGATATGGCACTTTTAGATGTTGATGGAACATTTGCCTGGTCAACTTCCGTTTCGTTATATCTAGCACTTCTGTCTGAGATTGCTCTTGTTCGACTACTGCTGGTGGGACATTTGTCTGTTCAGCAGTAGAAGTTTCTAAGTTAGTATTTGTATTTTCTAGGTCCATATTGTTCCCCCGTCCAGAGCCCCGTCTTAGACGGGCAAGCCTACTTACTTGGGAGGAAACGTACCGTTTGATACAGCTGTTTTGATGCAGGCACAGCTGCTATTCATCCTTCGGCACGGTTTACTGACACCTTAGATTAAACCTGGCGTTCGTTCGTCCTTCTTGGTTAGTTTTCAATGGCTCCTACTTCCAGAGGCATGGCATATATATACCTGTGCCTTTGGCCGTAGGGTCATGTCCTTAAACTGTAAGCCCCTCCACTACGGCTAAGCGAGGACCCGTAAAGTTGCGACAGGATAGATTATCCTGCCTCAACCTCCGGCGGAGGTGAGTTGGTTCGCGGTGACAGGTTTCGAAAAGGATTTTGGGGGTTTTTATATCCCCTCGCCCTATTTATATCTGCCACTGGCCAGAGATTCTGACCGTCCTCCTATCCACCACCCGGTAGGCTCTCGAACCTCGGAAATGTCTTTGGTAAGGACTGAGTGTTATTCATAAACAAAAAATGTTTATACACCTCAAAAATTATAAAAAAAATAATAGATGATTCTATATAAGTTTGGTTGTGTGTATTTATAAATGTTTAAAGTTGTTATTGTACAATAGATATTGAATTGTTACTTTCTACTTACAGACCTTTTTAACATAACATTGAAAATATGTTTTTTTCCTAGTAAAGGGAATTAACCGTGGGCCTCAGTGATTGTGGAGGAACATTTCATGGATATCAACACTATAAGTTCTCTTATCAGCTTAAGTTTGTGCCTTTAACATGAAACTTTCCTCAGCCAAATTTTGAAGAGGACCCTTGAGCCTATGTCATCAAAACTGAGAAACCGATTATGAGTTCATAGGCACATTACTTGATACCTCAAAGAGCAATGTCTAAGGAATTATATAAAATTGTACGCATATACTGGAGATATACCCCAGGGCTAACTTATTTGAAGACCTCTTCTCAGATCCGGGAATGGAAAAAAAAGAATGATCTTATGCATTCATACGTTACTGATGACAGAATACTGTTAGCTAAATAATCTAGGCAACCCCATATGAATTATAAGTCTGCAAATAAATGTTGTACTGTTATTTCTTTACTCCGCTTTGGAATGAACTAGATTTTAGATCTTTGAATTCACCAAACTGAAGCTTACCGACATTAAATAAGTCTTATCCAATTCAACCAAGGTGTGACTTGTACGGTGAATAAGTTAGAAATGAGCCAGAATAGATTCAATTTGATTGCAATTGAATGTGATAAGATCATCTCACTATTTTAAAGATAACTTACCTGAATAGTTATGCAATTAATTTAAAATTAAGTAATGAAACAATATTACTTAAAACCTTGAACTTTCCAATTCGATTAAAACCAAAGTTTTGAAAGGAATATAACACTTAACATTAAGTTTATCAGAAAACTTATTATAACATTAAAATTAACAAATTAATCATCTTACTTTATTTTTTAGCGATGAAGTGAGTTTCTGTCCTGACAATAAATTTCTACAAATCCAGAGTGAAGCGTATGTTACATTTAAAAGATGTGAAGAAGCTAGTCAACATTTTTCTCAAAAACAGACACTCAGTGAGGTATTTACAACAGTTAGAACGTCATCGGAAGTTAATCAACTAAAAGAAATTACAACACTAAAAGACCAGAAAGAATCAACCAAAATAAGTACTTTAATTTCTTCTGAGAGTAGTATCCAAATCACTTCTCCATACAAATCATCAGAAAAGTCTGCAAATTCTAACGAACTTACCACTAAATCTACAACTCTCTTTACCACCGAGACTGATTCTCAAACCAAATTGATAGAGCAAGAGGAATTTGAAGGAGGATGGAAAGCAAATGTTGTTAAAACATCAAAAAAGAATGAATATTTGAACAACACATCAAAAACGTCATTTACTACCAAAATTATTTCTCTAACCAAACTGGTCGAAACAGAAGAATCTAAAGATGTATGGAAATCAGATAAAACTACTGAAAATGCAACTGCTACCATGCATATATCCAAGAAGATATTTGTAGACGAACCAAGTTCTTCATCCATGGCTCATTTGGAACGTAAGAAATATGAAGAAAATGAAGTTACGCCTAAATCTCAGCATTCAGATCGAAAAACATATGAAGGAAAATTAAATAATATTAAAATGTTAAACATTATATCAACTGAAGATTCAAGAGAGGCTAAACCTATAATTAAAATTATACCTGCTTCTAAATATTTAGATTCTCATAATGGAGAATCAGAATATTTAAGTAAAATTAATACAGGGCTGAAAACAAAATTTGTTTCTGAAATTGAACATTTAACTGAATCTAATGACTTGGGACCAGACTGGCATGTCACTAGCGAAAAAGAATCTAATAGAATTCAAGATTTTAATACGCTCACCTCCAATTTATTTGCCTTCGAACCAAATAATGTTGAATCCAGAATAAAAACTATAAATAAAGATTTAACATCGTCTATTACATTTTTAAATGAAGTTCCCTATCAGGAATATCCAGGTGAAGTTATGTCTACGTTTAAATCACGAAAGGATCCTAAAAACACTGAAGACCCAATTGAAATAATAACTAAATCTATGAAAATGTATACAGATGAAATAAAATCTCCTTACAAAAAGAAATTGAAAATAATCAATGATAATTTAGGCAATAATGTAAATCATGAACCAATTAATTATTATAGTAAAGGTTATATTAAGAACAAAAACATTGTCAATAAAGCAATATCGCCAAAGCTGGAAGAAAAAAAATTTGAATGGGCAATGAGAGCTTTCAATGATAATTTATCTAAAAATGTAAATAATGAAACCAATGAAGTATCTAATGAAAGTATGCATTCAAATGACGATGGTCAATGGAATAATCACTTTGCAAAAAGACCAAAAATGATCGACTCTTCAAGTGAGGTTATCTTTAAAGATATGTTAAACACCAACAATAAGAAGATAAGACCAGTTCCTAATACTAGTAAAGAAGAAAACTTAGTTCCCACAGAAATAAATTACCAAAATAGACCTTTGATTGAAGAACAAGATGAACTTGAAGGGGTATCGAGAGCTCCTTTTCACAAACATACCAATAGAGTTGAAGAATCAATGGAAATTACTTACAAACCTGAGCATTTAAGTAAATTTATAGATAGAAATTTAATTAAAAATAATAATTTCGAATCTATAACCAATGAAAATATAAAGAAACATAAAGATTTTAACAAATTTACTGCTAAAACTAAAAATATAGCAGAACAATTAGATATTGAAGCCAATGAAGAATCAAATGAAAATGAAGATGCAAATCCTAAATCCAATATAGAAACTAGCAATCAGACTGCTTCTGATTTTGTAGGACAGGAAGTTACTCCAAGATTCAAACCATATACTAATGAAACTAATGATCAAACCCAATCTGAAAATATTGAAGGAAAATTGGAAGATAACGATAATGTAAAGGAATATGTACTAACGGGTTCAGTTCAATATTCAACAGAAGTAAGCCTTAAAAACCATCTGACCAAATTTTGGTTTAGGAATAAAGAAAAATTTGAAGATGACCAAACAGAATCTCAATTTGATCAGCCGAAGAAATTTAATAATAGATTAAAGTATGCGACTCAAGAACAATTGTCCGAACCCAAAAAAGGGTTTGGAATCAAATACGGCAATCCACATTCAAAGAAATTTAGAAACAGATTTGAAACTGCTTATAAAAACTCAACAAAAGATGCAGTTGAAGAAATAACTGAATATTCAGAACCAAATCAATTAAATTATCGAACGAAATCATCTTTTTTAAAAAACAATGGGAAGTTTAAATGGGAAACTAAAGAAAATTGGTCCAACAGAGTTATGTCTAAAGCTACTGCTAAAACAAGTTCACCTTTTCAAAATTTAGATGACGTAAAATACATGAAAGTTACTGAAGATATTGCTGAAGATGTAAGTGAGCGTATAAACAAAGGTGAAAAAAAATTTGAAGCCGATTTCCAAAAAACCTTTGAAGAAGAGGAGACAGATACTACAGTGGTGATTGGTACTAATAAAAATACGAAAACAGCTGAAGATGGCGAGCTATTTACTCTTGAAGTAAGTTATGAAATCACTTCTGAGCAGGATGAGGGAAAATTGTGGCAGCCTACAGATGAATATATATCTAAACACAAGTGCACCAAAATGGTTGAATGTTTACAACAGGTTACTACTAAATTCACTACAGGTAGTTCTACAACAAAAAAAATATCTGAAGATGAAGATGTATTTAGTTCTCTGATAGACGCTGATGATATGAGTGAAACCACAACTATTTCAGATGACTTAGTTGGAGAAAATCTTACGGAAGTACAAATTAAATCCATTATCGATAATATTACGAACTATCTAAATACCGAAACAGATGAATACATTACAGAATATATATTTAAACAAAAAGACACTACAGAAGAAGATACAACAATTTATCCTGAATCAGAATCTATACTGTTACCTGAGCAAGTTCGCAGGCAAATAAAAAAATATAATTTAAAGAAATTTGAATATGATCATCCAAAAAAGATTAAAAAAAGTTGGAGAACTAGCGAGTATTTAAACGATTTAACAAACGAAGCGCAAAAATTATTTAATCCGCCATCTTATCATTATACAACATTTGATAAATCAAAAAACAGAGATGATAAAATTAAAGCTATCATCAAAAATTTTACAAAGTTTGTAGATATCGACATAGGTGAAACTACGCCTATATCGAGTAAAATTTCAAAATATTCTCCCAAAAAAACTAAAAATCCAATTAAAAAATATATCACTAAAAATATAATTCCAGAGAAATTGAAGAAATCAGAATTCAAAAGAAGATGGACTCCTGGTACAACAAAAAAAAGTGACGCAAAATCAAAACAAACGAAATTAAAACCTGCCAAAGAAAATGTAAGTGAAAATTATAAAAAAGTGACTAGTATTTCAGTAGAAAATAAAGAAATAAATAATAATAATACGTTTGATAACCCTACCGAAGTTGACTCTATTATCAAAAATATTACAGAACACGTGGACTCTGACATTGTTCCAACATTATCTGAAAATGATTTGTTTAATATATTTCAGGGACCTGTATATTTACCTGATGGTAAAAAACAAAAGAAATACATTGAAAAAAATACATTTCCACATAAAAGAAAGCATCGTACTACTACAGAAACTATATACGATTACATTATTGACACTACAACCATTAACTCACCTAAATATACAGACGATTTCCCAACCAAAATTGTTGAAGATTCATACGAGGCACCTAAAACTTCTACAGAAAATTTATATAACTTCAATAATCGTATTGACACTACAACCATTAACTCATTTAAATATACATACGATTACCCAACTAAAATTGTTGAAGATTCATACGAGATACCTAAAACTTCTACAGAAAATTCACATAACTTAAATAAAAATGATTCAACTATACAAAATCTTATTGAAATTGAAGTTAATTCTCTAATTAGAAATATTACAAAATTATTAAACAATGAAACAATTGATGAGGATAAAAGTGTTGAAGTAGCAACTAAATTTTCCAATTCTATATTCCTACCCGAAAACGCCAGGAGAGAAGTTAAACATTACAATAAGACAAATAAATTTTCACCAAATTTTAAGCATGTCGATAAAAACACACTCAAAGAACAGAAACAGAAAAAATATATATCAAAAAAGAAGAAGAAAAAAGTCTAGGCATTTACACTAGTTTTTATTTTACACTAATTCACAAAATAATATACAATCCATGTATTTTAACTTAACAATAAGATTTCTATACACAACGTTTTAATCAGCAAAAGTGAAAGAACATGTTGAAACATGTTCGGAATAGTGTGCGGTCTTCAAAATATTGTTCTGTCTGTATCTGCGATACCTTTCATTGACGAGAATCTCTTTTAGACGAGGCACAGAGTTTTTAGGTTGTAAGTTGAAATTATGCCATGTAGACTACGAAATTTTTGAGAATTAACAAAATTCTATGCAAGATTTAATGAACAGATTATTGAAATTGTTACTAAAGTTGTAGAATTCTACAAACACAAGGAATAATAATAATAATAACAATACTATCATGAATTTGTGTTAATTCTCTGATAATTTCGTAAGTTAACTTTAAAAACAGCAATTTTATCAAACATCTATTATAAATAGAAACGTCACATAAATACGTCTTTTATTTATTTTTTAACAGCATAGAGATCAAATTGTATTGACATATATAAAACAAACATCTATTTATGTAAAGTTAGATTTACATGCAATGTCAATAAACTTTTTAACAATTTTGGGTATTGTTATTTTGCAGGTGAAAGTGTTTAATTAGATTAAATAATTGTAGTCCAATCAAAATAAAGTTTGAGAAAAAAAAACGTGTTAAAGGTAGAGGGGCTTATAATAAATAAAAGGTAGTCGTCAAAAAAAATATTTTTAATGCAAAAGTTGTGTATCAAACAAAATTTTCGAAAAAATTCAAACGTTCGTTCTTTTTGTGTGTCATCGACTTCATAAGGTTATTTCGCCTCGTGTTCTGCGTAGGCTTTATTACTGTTTCCCAGCGCCAATTTAGTAACAGCACTGTTAATTGAAACCCAACAGTAAATGGTCGAGTACCAAGGTATCACAACTAATTTTAAATAAATAAATTAAATAAAAAAATCCCGGTCAACGGTGGGATTCAAACCTGGGACTCTTGGATGAATCCGCAGGCGGAGACTACCACTGAGCCACCTACCCCTATTTTTTTTCTATTTTTAGTTTTCATTTCTCCAAAACTAATTTAATATTAATGACATTTGATGAAATTTGATGAAATTTAAAGAACTTCGATTAAATTTGATGAAATTTAATGAAATTTGATGAAATTTGATGAAATTTGATGAAATTTGATGAAATTTGATGAAATTTAATGAAATTTAATGAAATTTGATGAAATTTGATGAAATTTGATGAAATTTGATGAAATTTAATGAAATTTGATAAAATTTTATGAAATTTGATAAAATTTTATAAAATTTTATGAAATTTCATGTATTACTTTTTTAAAAGAAAGCTCTAAAGTGGAAACTACCTTAATTTTTTCACAAGTTCCTGATGAATCTGTTACGGATATCTCTTAAATTCTTAAGAAACTTCCACAACCAGTGCAACTTCGGAGAGGGGGTGTTAAATTTCCATATGTAAATATGAAAAATTGATAAAAATTTGAAAAACTGGGTAGACGATAAGTTTATATCGAAAAAAATTTTTTACTGGATCTCAATAAAAATTATTCTTGAGATGTGTTTTCATCATTTTCTAAGATTTTCAATGATAATGAGTGGATAAATGCATTTTTTAAAATGTGATTTTTGTCCAATCTCAAACCGAGTAGGTGAGACAATGTTTTCACTGCAAAATAAAGTTGGGACACTTTTTGAATAAAAAGAAAAATATTTATAATTCAAATTTTTTTCTTCTATCATGTGAACGTGTTGCGAAAATATGTAGAAACATAATAGTTTTCATATAGATTGATACTAACGTGAATTATTTATGTCTTTAGTCACCCCGTTCGTCGGTAACATTTTCAAATCGAAAAAAACATTATTTTTGAATATAATTAAAAAAAAATGTGTTTATTTAAGACATACAAAGGCATAATGTCAACCAATTTCATCAAAATTAAATTATTTTTGGAAAAATAAAAAATAATAAAAAAACTCAAAAAACTTTTATATTTTTTCGAAAATTTTGAGGTTATTTTAAAAAGTGACCTTTACAAATGCTCCAAATTTGTGTTTAATTAGTATCTTTTGTTTTATACATTTTTATTTTTGACGTCAATTTTTGCCAGCTATCGCGATAATACCATTTTTTACCCCCTTTTCACCCATTTTTGAGCTTTTTAACTCTCTTTACCTATTTTTACCAAATTTTACCAAACATTACCAAATTTTTCCAAATTTTACAAAATTTTACAAAATTTTACAAAATTTTACAAAATTTTACGAAATTTTACAATATTTTACAATATTTTACAAAATTTTACAAAATTTTACAAAATTTTACCACTTTCTGTGCTTTTTTAATCATTTGTACCCCATTTTTCCTCTTTTAACCACTTTTTACCCTTTTTACCAATTTTTGCTCCGTTTTGTCCCCTTTTTTTGCCCCCTTTTGCCCTCTTTTTGACCCTTTTGTCTCCTTTCCCCCCTTGCCCCTTTTTAGTCCTTTTAGCTCATTTTAGCCATTATTTAGTCCTTTTTAGCCCTTTTTAGTCCATTTTAGCCCTTTTAAGCTCTTTTTATACCTTTCTGCTAATTTTCAACCCCCTAACACTTTACATCGACTTCCGATTACTTTATTTTTCTTTACTTATTACAAGCTCCTCTAGTTTACACCTATTAAATTCCAGTTAACATTTTAATCCCCTCTAAATAAGTTAATTGGACTAGTCTATAGGCTTTCAAGATATTTTTAATTTATTTAGAAAATATTACTATTTATATAAATTCATTTCATGTTGCCATTAAGGGTGAGATTACAGAACGTCTGCAATTTTGCAGATCTGCAAATATGACGGCAACTTTGCAGATCTGTAAATATGGCGGACTTACAGATGCAAGTATCAAGTTTTCGTATTCCAAAAAATATTTGCAAATTCGCAATATTTGTTGTGGTTTATTACCCCCAATAACACTAAATCCAAATTCACCCTTAAGGGTGAGATTACAGAAGCTCTGCAAATCGTACTTGCATCTGCAAATATCAGTTGCAGTTACAAAAGAGAAACATGGTATTATAGAAATGTGTTTTCACTTTTTGCTTCTGAAAATCAATTGTAGCTTTCCAGGAGGTTAGAAGATCCTAAAAACTTGCAGATTGTCAATTTTTACTTTGTTTCTTTTTAATAACCATAAAGTCTTCTGTTCTGTTTGATTGAATACAGTTCGTGATGTCAAATTATCGAGTGTTTAAACATACTAATGGATTTGGGTTTAGTGTTGTTGGGGATAATAAACCACAATAAATATTGCGAATTTGCAGATATTTTTTGGAATAAAAAACTTGATAGTTGCATCTGTAAGTCCGCCATATTTGCAGATCTGCAAAGTTGCAGACGATCTGCAATCTCACCCTAAGTCAATATTAACAAGAAACTAAATATCATCAAAAAAATACTAAAACACTGTCAGTTTATGACTTATTTTGAAGTATGAACAATAACAATTTGATAATTAAAGTCAATTATTTAATTTAAATAGACACTTGATTGGTAGATACAGAGTCATTCAATAACTACTTTGTTGAGCTTAATAAGTAAAACCATAAGTTTATAGTTACAACTAATTAACATTTGATAAAAAAATAAATATCCAAAATTAAGTTTAACTTGTAAAGGTAAATACAGTAAATCCAAATTTTTAGACACACACACTTAGATTCAAAGGAACTTCTAGATATAAAGACGTTTTGTTTGTTTTTAAAAACCCGTTATCAATAAAATATTTGTGTAAAATTTGGAGTTACTGTACATAACAAAAGTAGTTCTTTTACTTTACTACAGTCTGCAATTTTTAATTTATTTAAGTCTAAATTACCAGCGTTGATGAAAATTTTATTTGTAAATGCATTCAGTATTAATCAAAATTTAAATTTTAACTCATACTTTCAAGTGACTGTAGTTTTAACTAAATAGAGACTTTTATATTTACAACTTTACATTGATTTTTTTTGTGAACACTATTGTTAACTACATCGCAGTTTTTCATCCAAGCTTTGCTACACCTTTGGTATATTCTAAATTTACACATTGAAAAATAATAACGCCTTTTAGGCCAGCGATATGTATGGTTAACGAAAAATTTTCTAAACCTAACGAAAATGTGAAAACCCTGTAGATATATTTGCAAAACATTTCAGTTTTCTTACAGATTTCTTTTATGGTAAATATTTTTAAAATTTTTATTAGTAATTTTAGGTTCTTATTTAAATTCTTTGATAGAAGAAGATAATTAGATTGATTACGGAATACAATAAAATATTAACAAAGATTTTATCTTGTAGAAATGTTTAAATAAAAACAGAATTAGCTCAAACGCATTGCTAAGTCATATAATTATGTTTTCTTTAATTTTACATTAATATTTCGCAAGATTTCTTTCTTTATTATATGATCACTGTGTTGTATGTCACTCTATTAGTGTTGCCAAGATAATGTGATGTCCTTTAATCACTGAAAGGATCAGTACTATGTAATTTAAAAAATGAATGTCGAAACAATTTACCAAAAAAAAAGATCTGCAAGAAAAATAAAATAGTCATATTAACAGCTACCCTACAAAGATAAAAGGGTTCTCTATCAGGCGAGACTACGGCCACGTTAATATCTCTATTTATTAAGTAATTTGTATCAAATTTTGAACAAACATTCTAGACATAATTACATTAAAACTTCTCATGAAAATTAAAAGAAACTTTTTTTGTTGAAAGAACACAAGTGAATGATATTCCAAAAAGTAAAATTAAATTAGGAAAAATTATTCTACCTGCAAAACATCCTTTAACGTGTCGACTCATATTTGAACATACATGTTGGTTATGTCATGTTGGCGTTCAAATTCTGTTGTCAAATGTGAGAAAGAAATTTTGGGTTATCGGAGGAATAAAAACAGTAAGATCTGTAATTCGTAAATGTGTAGTTTGTCGGAGAC